TATTCATTAAACGTTAGAACGTTGGCTAAACTGCACCCTGAATAATTATATTGGCCAAAACTTTTGTTTCACTTTTTTCTTCTAAGATCTGAAACGTATTTTAACTTAATTTGATTCGTTACTTTCAGAAAATAAAATCGAGTTTCACCTATTGCAACAAGTTTTTATTTTACGGTAATTTGTATTTGTTGTACAGCATGACCACTCCGGTGGATATGCTGTAGAACAAGAGCATGAAATTGCACTTATTCACAAGTTATGTAGTGACTATCAGGAGAGTTATATGGCATAAGTTATGTGGTTACAAGTTATGAAGTGACTATCAGGAAAGTTATGTGGCTTAAGTTAAGGTATGTGGTGACAAGTAATGTGGTGATTATCTTAATTAATTTAAAGCTTGAGATATGTTGCCAGTTGCCAATTTGAGATAATGGCTGTTGGCAAATTAAAGTGGTTGAATAATTCAGATACATTTTGGTACTTACGTGGAAGCTTCACTGTGCTGTCAAACTAAGATTTGTTGTGAGCTTGTGAAGGTGTACTTACCTCAATTTCAAGTAAGACTTGGATACCAGGATTAGTCTTTTCTTGTGTTGAAAATTTCCGACAAAACTTTTTCAACCAAAAAAAAAGACTTTTTTTTAACAAAACTCAAATTTACAAAAAAAACAAAAATCGCAAAGCAAAGAGAGACAAAAACTGACATATGGCATTCAAATACTATGCCGAGAATCGAAAACCACTTAAATGACTACTATTTTTGCATGGGCATGGCTTCGGGTTACAATAGGAACATCAACAAAACCTCACGTACCCAAGTCTGGACTTACCAGTTCGCCCAGTACACCTGGACTATCCCTTCAGATGAAAGGCCTATGCCAGTTTTTAAAGAGCATCCGCCCTCACTACAGAACGAGTTGGATATGGCAGGGGATAGTGTCAAGCTTGATTCTAATGTAGATTTTGAAAAATCTGCAAAATTTGATCTTAAAATGTTGACCTTAAAATGATTAACTCTTTACATAGTCAAGAAGGATACACGAAATGCGCATGTGTTTTGTGGAAGCAGGATACTAGAGCTTAGGACAAGCATTGGACTCGGACGAACTGACAGGATAGAACATGCCTAAATTTGGGAGAACCATATATCAAAAACCAATCACTGTTAAATCGGGGGGAGGGGTGAATCCGCTTTCCTCCTCTGCATGTGGCTTAAATTATGTGATGACAAGTTATGTAGCGACTATCAGGAAAGTTATTTTCTTAAGTTATGAAGTGACAAGTTACCACTGTAATCTATTTTTTCATAACAAACTGGGTGTACCGAAGCAGTATGATTTCAGTTCTTCACAATAGATCAAGGAGAGATCACTGCGCTAGGAGAGGTGGTAGAAAAAACAGGCGGCATTGGAAGGGATCGAAATTAAAAGAGATGAGGTCAAGAGGCACCTGTTGGATCTGGACGTGAGAAAGACTGTTGGGCCGGACGGAATCTCACCATGGGTATTGAAAGAGTGTGCAGGAGCTCTTTGCTTGCTACTCTCCATAGTGTATAGTAGGTCAATGGAAACGGGAGACCTACCAGAAATATGGATGACGGCTAATGTAGTCCCAATACACAAAAAGGGTGACAGACAAGAGGCACTGAACTACAGGCCATTGTCCTTGACTTGTATACGATGCAAGGTGATGTAGAAGATTGTGAGAAAAAGCCAAGTAACACATCTGGAGAGAAGGGACTTCGTGACAACCCATCAACATGGGTACAGGGAGAGTAAATCTTGCCTTACAGGCTTAATAGAATTCTTAATAGAATAGGTGATAAAGATTAAGCAAGAAAGAGAAGGATGGATAAACTACATTTTTTTTGGACTATCGGAAAGACACAGTACCCCATAAAAGGCTGATGCATAAAATGGAGAAAGAAGCAGAAGTAACTGGTAGGGCGCTCCAGTGGATAACGAAGTACCTAAGCAATAGGAAGCAGAGTTACAGTGAGGGGTGAGATCTCAGATTGGCGTGACGTCACTAGTGGAGTCCCACAGGGCGCTGTACTCACACCTATCTTGTTTCTGATATACATAAATGATCTCCCAGAGGGTATAGACTCATTTCTCTCAATGTTTGCTGACGACGCCAAAATTATGAGAAGGATTAAGACAGAGGACAGCTTGAGGCTTTAAGAAGACCTGACCAATCTGCAGGAATTGTCGGATAAATGGTTGTTAGAGTTTAACCCCAAGCAAATGTAATGTAATGAAGATAGGTGTAGGAAGCAGGAGACCAGATACAAGATATCATTTGGGAGATGAAAATACTTCAAAAGTCAGAAAGAGAGAGAGAGAAAGGCCTAGGGGTCGATATCACGCCAGACCTGTCCCCTGAAGCCCATATCAAGAGGATAACATCAGCGACATATGCCAGATTGGCTAACATAAGAACGGCCTTTAGAAACTTGTATAAGGAATCTTTCAGAACGTTGTATACCACATATGACATACCAATACTGAAGCATGCGTCTACAGCATGGAGTCCATATCTAGTCAAGCATAAGACTAAACTGGAAAAGGTTCAAATGTTTAAAGCCACCAGACTAGTACCCGAACTGAGGGGTATGAGCTACGAGAAGAGACTACGGGAATTAAACCTCACGTCACTGAGAGACAGAAGAGTTAGAGGGGACATGATCACCACATACAAGATTATCAGAGGAATTGATAGGGTAGATAAAGACAGACTATTTAACACAAGGGGCACACGCACTAGGGTACACAGGTGGAAATTGAGTGCCCAAATGAACCATAGAGACGTTAGATAGAATTTTTTCAGTTTCAGAGTAGTAGACAAATGGAATGCATTAGGCAGTGATGTGGTGGAGGCTGACTCCATACACAGTTTCAAGTGTAGATATGATAGAGCCCAGTAGGCTCAGGAACCTGTACACCAGTTGATTGACAGTTGAAAGGCGGGACCAAAGAGTCAGAGCTCAACCGCCGCAAGCACAACTGGGTAAGTTCAACTAGGTAAGTACAGGTGACAAGCCACAGGTGACCGGCACAGGTGACAGGCCACAAGGAAAGGTGACCTCTCGTCCCCTATCCACCTTCTTTCCAACACTCCCCTTTTCTCCACTTTTCTCTCCTGCAGGTCTTCCCCTCTCACGCCCCTCACACCTCTGCACCCTCTCTCCCAATCTTGCCCCTCATTTCTCTCACCTCTCCTCTCTTCTTCCCCCCTCCCTCCCTTTTCTCTGAGTCTCTCCCCTGTTCTCCATCCCTCCCTCTCAATCATCCCCCTTTCCCTTCCCCTGCTTCAAGCATCCCCCTTTCTTCTTGCTTCTCTCCCTGTCTCTGTCTTTTTTTCTGTATCTGTCTGTCTCTATGTAGTGTTGTCCATTTCTTTGTTTTTTGGTCTGTACTGCTATATCTTCTTTCTATTCGACATGGTCTCTCTATGCAAGCCTATCTCTGCCCGTCTATCTCTGTTTCAGTTTGAATGTTTAAGTCTTTTATCTACATGTCTCGGTCTCATACTGTCCCTGTCTTTTTCCTGACTATCTGTCTCTGCCCCCCCCCCCCCTCTCTCTCTCTCTCTCTCTACCCTCTCTCTCTCTCTACCCTCTCTCTCTCTCTCCCTCTCTCTCTCCCTCTCTCTCCCTCTCCCTCTCCCTCTCTCTCTCTCTCTCTCTCTCTCTCTCTCTCTCTCTCTCTCTCTCTCTCTCTCTTTTTTTAAATAAAAATTCCCGTTGGGTCAGGGCTTCAGAACATCTTAGAACCTACCGGAGTATGGTCCGGTTTATGCTAATACCGGCAAAGTATGATGTTTAGAAAATTTCAATTAATTTTCCCGAGATCAGTGCAAAATTTTCCATATAATATAGAAATAGTTTTGAAATTTTTATTTAAAAAATATATAGTAACTGCCATGTAGTGCCCAATCACTCATGTGGGTCGTCAGTATGTGACTGTAACACGAAGTAGCCTCTAGGATTCTGGCGACCCCAACCAGCCTATGTTCGTCCTGTACCGCAGACCATTCCCCCTGTAAATTTGGGAGTGGTTAGCCCCCCCCCCCTCAATCGTTTAGCCTCCTCAGTCCTTACATACGTCACCTGTCACCAAACAATTTGGAGTTTATTGCTAATTACTATAGTACAGGCTCTATGGAGCTCTATATATAGGTGCTAAATTGCAAGTAAAATATACCATAATCTCACTAATTAGTTTAATATCCCAGAATTTATTAATATTTACCTCTGCCCAAATTAAGGTAATCAATGTCTAATATCTGAGGCGAACAAGGTCAAAATAGAGAAGATATTGATTCCAGTGGGTAAATTATAGTCTACGCAGACGACGGGTCGTGGTTGGACGACGGGTCGAGGTGGTATGCTGACCAAACCGCACGTCAGAAAATGAAGAAACGACGACGTTTCTGTCCGTCCTGGACATTATAAAGTCGGGTATAATGACTTGAATTTCTGATTGTGTAGTTTGGTCATTATTGTCTACCTCTCTCTTATTGAAAACATATGAAAAAGTCCATTGCCTGCTGCTGTGAGTTACACCTGTCCTCTCACATAACACATCGAATTTTGACGCCAAAATCCCATCGTCAAAATAAGGTATATTAAAAACCACAGCGACTCGCAAAATTAACGAGATGTCCCGTTTTCTGTTCGCGGGTCCTCGATTAGATTAAGTTCCAGACAATATAGAACATCATTTTAGTGACGTTCTGGACGCTCGAGAGAACGGAATGATTACTTAGCTGTTCCTTATGTGATTGAAATACTGTTGCTGCTGTATTTGAGTTGCTGTAAGGTGTATGGTGTGTTCTGACTGCAGTACTGTGACTGTTTTGGGATGGCTGTACTCTGGGAATGGTATGCGGACCATTTATCTAATGTTTGCTGTGGTGATTGCTGTACTGTAGCCCCTTTTACACTTGTTGCTGTATTATGCATTCTGAATTATAGTTGACGTAATATGCATGTGGTACTATGTAGCATTATGTTGGCTATATGACTTTTGTTGTGTCGTATGTTCTGTGCTACGGTGGTATGCTGTGCCACGGTGGTATGCTGTACCACGGTGGTATGTGGTGCCACGGTGGTATGTTGTGCCACGGTGGCATGCTGTGCTACTGTGGTATGCTGTGCCACGGTGGTATGCTGTGCCACGGTGATATGTTGTTCTACGGTAGTATGTTGTGCCACGGTGGTATGCTGTGCCACGGTGGTATGCTGTGCCACGGTGGTATGCTGTACCATGGTGGTATGCTGTGCTACGGTGGTATGTTGTGCTACGGTAGTATGTTGTGCTACGGTGGTATGCTGTGCCACAGTGGCATGCTGTACCACGGTGGTATGCTGTGCCACGGTGGTATGTTGTGCCACGGTGGTATGCTGTACCACGGTGGTATGCCGTGCCACAGTGGCATGCTGTACCACGGTCGCATGCTGCCCTTATGTTCCAGAACCATGTCCGCATATTTCTTCACTGTGCTACTCACACATATACATGACGAGCTCCTTCTAGTGGCAATTACCCTTCCGTTGAGGCGGAAAAACCAGTGAGTGCACTGTAATATGCTGTATTTTGACTCCTATACCGTCTGATACAGACTGTACTGTGCCTGTGGTGTTGGTAATGAAGCACCTTGGGTGTTTGACTGTACTGTGCCTGTGGTGTTGGTAATGAAGCACCTTGGGTGTTTGACTGTACTGTGCCTGTGGTGTTACTAATGAAGCACCTTGGGTGTTTGACTGTACTGTGCCTGTGGTGTTACTAATGAAGCACCTTGGGTGTTTGACTGTGCTGTGCCTGTGGTGTTACTAATGAAGCACCTTGGGTGTTTGACTGTACTGTGCCTGTGGTGTTACTAATGAAGCACCTTGGGTGTTTGACTGTACTGTGCCTGTGGTGTTGCTAATGAAGCACCTTGGGTGTTGGTGTCGTGAGGAGGCGGCAGCAGTGACGGAAGGCGAGGCAACAAACTCCAACAATTTACATTAGCCTTCCCCCAGCCAGCATATCTTGTCAGCATATCTGGCCAAGAAACCCGGCAGTTGGCTCTCACTGGTATGTCGCCAACAGGAAAAAAAAAGGGGATTAATTTCATTTGGTGTTTGTGCTGCGGTGGTTCATTGTCGTTGTTGCTGCTGGAAGGGCTATTTTTTTTATTTACATTTTAATTTCAAAATGTATATTGAGGTATAAATATATACACACAAAGGGATGAGGTAGCTGAAGCTATTCTGACCCCGTTCAGTACAATGTTACATACATTCATGTATGTAACATTGTTTAAATTCATGTAAATTCATTGTTTACATTCATGTATGTAACAAACACATTCAATGTGTTTATATATGTTTACTCCTATCACAATCAAAATATTACTGAACATTCTGGTTGATAAACATATACATTTCTTCCTCTATACATGCAGTATGACTCCAAACGTACACACAAATATTGTTATTACTAAGTTCATAGACATGAGTAGCATAAGGGCGCCTGACAGCTGGGTGGACAGCGCTTCGGATTCGTAGTCCTGAGGTTCCGGGTTCGATCCCCGGTGGAGTCGGAGACAAATGGGCAAAATGTTTCTTTCACCCTGATGTCCCTGTTACCTTAAAGTAAATAGGTACCTAGGAGTTAGACAGCTGCTACGGGATGCTTCCTGGGGGTATGTTACAAAAAAGAGCCCTGGTCGAGGACCGGGCCGCGGGGACGCTAAGCCCCGAAATCATCTCAAGATAACCTAGCAGCAAACAAGGTACAAACATTCAACAAATGTGCCAAAGGTTACACACTTGGAACAAGATTCTGATATCTCTCCTGAATCTTTCTGTTGTTACTTGTAATTTTTAACAAAGATCCTTATATTTTTTTTTTTTTTTTTTTTTTTTGGGCAGGGAAATCCTACACGAGCCCTAAGCCTCTGGCTGGCCCACTAAGTGTTGCTTGTTTCTGTTTTACTTGGGCGGAGTATGAGTATTTATGACTCGTATGGTCGCTTCAGTAAGATTTTGCCATATGTATTTAACAACTTCTTCTGCTCTGTTGAATCTAAGTTGAAATCTTATTGAGTTTCTAGCTGTGCACTGTGTTAGATAATGTTCCAGTGGTCTGTCGGACATTTCTCCACAGTGCTGAGCTTTCCGTTGATCTTGGTCTCTTAATTTTGTTCACGGTGCGTTATATTATTTACTGATTTCAAAGTTTGCGGTTCAGAAATCTTATAAGCATGTCTGGTGAGATTATGTATTGCTTAAAGCTTATTATTACTATAATCTGGATTTTACGACTAATGTTATAAATATTTACGTAAAATTAGCGCCATTAATTTATGCCAAAATTAATTATTTTTCTTCCCAGACAAATTTTATACAACAATTTCTTAGTTATATATTAAGCATATATTTCCGATAACAAAGATGCACCGAAATATGTCACAGTTTAAGAGAAGCACAAATGTTTGCCTCACAAGCTTCTACAGTGACAAATTTGCTTTACTTATTCTTGGGAACACAATGAAAGTTAACTTGATATAAATGAGGACGGGACGAAATTGGGATATGGGGAGAGGATAAGAGTTACCATGTATGAGGATAAGGTAAGAACTAGTATATATGAGGATAGGACAAGAACAGGCATATGAGGAGAGGATAAGAGCTATCATATATGAGGAGAGGAAAAGAGCTAGTTTGTATCATGACAGGACAAGATCTGGCATAAAAGAAAAGGATTACAGTTGGGATTTGAGGGGGCAGGCCATGGGCTGGGATTTCAAGGTAAGCCATGGACCATGAGGGCAGGCTAAGAGCTGGGATATGAAGACGGAGCAAAGGAACGATCCCCCCAACCATTTGACCTATTGGAGATCGAACCCTGCAAAAATGCGAGCAGCGGAAATGTGATGTACTCACCGATCCAATTCAAGCAGTTTCAAGGAAATCATCATTTCAAAAACAGCAGCAGTTAACGGAGAAACCTGTTGTACTGTTTCCTCTCACATATTCCAGATCGTTCCAATGGAAATAGCTTGCCATTTAGTAGCCGTTTTCCAATACATTTAAAAGTCATTTAACAGAAATTAGATCCTAATGTCTCCCAGAAAACGTTTGTTTACTAGATACAGTTTCCTTGTTTGCATGATTGTTTGGTGGGAGGATGTACCTGGATCAAAGATTCAGTGCAAAACTTGTTAAGATAGTTGAGCTGTGTGGCTGTCAAACAACCCATCAGTTTATACAGAGCTGTGTGGCTGTCATCCAACCCGTCACTTTATACAGAGCTGTGTGGCTGTCATCCAACCCGTCACTTTATATAGAGCTGTGTGGCTGTCATCCAACACCCGAAGCTTATGAATTTCTCCTTTTTGTGCAACTCGTGTGAGCATTAAGAAAGCGCCTGTGAGGATACAGAAAGAAAACACACACAATGGATGCAATGTTGCTAGTGCAAGTTCATTGTCTCGCCCCACAAAACCTCCCCTAAGATACTGTTAACACCCGGGTTACTGAAAAGCCAGTGTGTGTGTGTGTGTGTGTGTGTGTGTGTGTGTGTGTGTGTGTGTGTGTGTGTGTGTGTGTGTGTGTGTGTGTGTGTGTGTGTGTGCATGTGTTTCATATGCTGCTATTGCTGCTACTGCTGCTGCCGCTGCTGCTGCTGCTGCTGCTGCTGCTGTTGCTGCTGTTGCTGCTGCAGCTGCTGCTGCTGTTGCTGCTATTGCTGCTGCTGTTGCTGTTGCTGCTGCTGCTGCAGCTGCTGCAGCTGCTGCTATTGCTGCTGCTGTTGCTGCTATTGCTGCTACTGCTACTGCTACTGCTGCTACTGCTACTGCTGCTGCTGCTGCTACTGCTGCTGCTGCTGCTGCTGTTGTTGTTGTTGCTGCTGCTTTTGCTACTCAGGAAACGTGCGAGCCCAAGCACCCCCCCCCCTTAACCTAACCCGCCGATGTATAGAAAACGTGGAATTTTCTGAGTGCTGCGTTTATCAACCTGTCCTCTTAAAAAGAACGTCGCTTTTGGCCGTTTGCCCGTATGGCCGCATATGGACGTAATTTGAAAATGAAAAAAAAAATAGAAAATAAATTTGGGATTTTTTTCAACAACAGTAAGTTAAGGGTCCTCTGATAGGTTAGGTGAGCAGGAAATTCTCATAAAGTTTCAAAACGTTATGAAAAACGTTAATTGAAAGTTCCTCTTCTAAGCTGTCCGAGGAGGGCCGGATGACTCAAACAGAAAACGGAACAGTACGTCACTTTTGTGAGTCGATTTCGTTTCAAATTACGTCCAAATTTGGCCATAGTGCGCATACGAGCCAAAAGTGACGTTATTTTTAAGAGGACGGGTTGCCTTATCATAGCACCTTGTAATTTGTAGGTTGGGGACCAAAACGAAGAAAATGAGACGTGTTAGTTGAAAGGGCAGTTTGGTTGACGATGATAGCGGGAGTACGTACACGTCTCTTTGTACACAAAACTGATCACCAAAGGTTATTAATTCATTTCAGGTATTGTGAGACATGATACTCTAGGTGTTGTAATACACGGTACTGGAGGTGGTGTTATATACGGTACTGGAGGTGCTGTTATACACGATACTGGAGGTGGTGTTATATACGGTACTGGAGGTGCTGTTATACACGATACTGGAGGTGGTGTTATACACGATACTGGAGGTGGTGTTATACACGATACTGGAGGTGGTGTTATACACGATACTGGAGGTGGTGTTATATACGGTACTGGAGGTGGTGTTATACACGATACTGGAGGTGGTGTTATACACGATACTGGAGGTGGTGTTATACACGATACTGGAGGTGGTGTTATACACGATACTGGAGGTGATGTTATACACGATACTGAGGTGGTATAATACAAAGTTAAGGAGATGCTGAAAACAAAATCATGACACTGAAGATGCTGTAATATATGGTACGTGAGGTTTTGTGATATATGGTACTGGAAGTACTGTAACGCAGAGTACTGGAGGTGTTTTAATACACAATACTGGAGGTACTGTAATACAAAGTACAGGAGGTCAGTATGAACGAGGGTGAGCAGTCAGTAGGCTGTGACTGATCACAAGGATGTGCTGGATCACAGTGTTGATTACAGATAAAACAACAGTTCATTTATCCACTTGTTCCTGCGTTGCTTCTAACAATATCTGGAGTTAACGTAATGAAAACAATCGGATTTGCAACGTGAAATTATTCTGTAACATTCATTTTTTAGGTCGCAATTTAAGTATATAGTTGACATTTGTTTGCAAAATACAATTTCAGACACAAGATTGAGAGCAGACATCGCAATTGTATTTACCGATTACTTACAGTGCAACAAGGCTTTCATAATGCGATAATCACAGGACTGATAGCAGATATTGATAAATATATGGGTTATATTTACATAAACAAAGCTGATATATATATGCAAGCTTCTTGTATATATTTTTAGTCTTCCACACAGAATG